CCTCTCCGCGCACCGCCCGCGCCCCTCCGGGGGGCGTTATGTAACAGACCCGAGCCCAACTCCGGAACCATGTCACTAGTCCTGTCCGAGGCGGATCACACCGGGCTCCCGGCGTCTGTAGCGTGAACCCCAGCCCGCAGATCCCCACCAGGGCCGCAGGCGAGGGCTGCAGCTGCCGGGGCTCCGGCAGTCCCCGGGGGGATCTACCCAAAAGCCGCCGGCGCGCCCTGGGGAACAACGTGTTCTCTGGGGGCAGGGTGCCACCAGGCGCGCAAGGTGGGGAAGGAGGGAGCAGGCAGAAGCCATCGGTATAAGCTAGAAACCCCTGAACCTAAGGAAGCCCCCCGCTCGAACTCCCACCCCACCTCTCCAGTGCGCACACTCTTCAATTCCTTTCGCTAACCCCCACACCACCACCAGCGGGGGTCCCCGAGAGTGCAGCCACTTTCTCCCCCTCCGCTGTCACACGCACGCGCGTGTGCCGTCACTCACACCCACACACTGAAAGACGCACACACCACCCCGCACTCACACCCGCTGGCTTTCCGCGTGCGGCGCCTGAAAGGCATGAATATTCATTACTTACAAGCATTGGTGACTGCGAAGCTGTTGGCCACCTCCAAATTGTCGATGTGCGGTGTTAGTCTGAACTCCGAAGTGGAAAACTGAACCATCCCTACCCGAAATGCACTGTATTCTTGATCTGCGCCCCTGGGAAAGAGCCCCCCTGCAAAGAACAAACACCAAGCAGGGGAACCGTGTCAGTGCCCGGGAGGAAAAGGAGAGGAGCCCGCTGCTGCCCGAAGCCCAGGAGTCTCTTATTCACGCTAATGAGCGGCATAAGCACATGAGAGGGCTCTGGTAGCTGGGGCTCAAACATCCAAATAGTAACCAAGGGGTCAAGGCACAGTCTGAGGGCAAGGTAAGGGGGCCGGAAACATTTGCCTTTCCGCCTCATCACGAGCTTTGCATTCAGACCCCTAGAGAATCTGAGCAAACGGGAAAATGTTAAGGCAGAATTAATAAAACCTGGAGGGCAGAAATGAGATCCCCCCCTCCCCTCTATTGTATCAAGGCATCGTCTTTTCCCTTTGCTTCATCCGAAGAAAAAACATGTATATTCTAGGCAGTTTAAATCTGGAATGCAGTCAAGGTATGACATAAGTCTACATGACATGAATTAATTTGTTCACTGTGAACAAAGATTACTACCAAATGATGCACAATTCAAAAGCAGAGCACAAAGGATACCTACCTATCTGTATGCTGTTAGAAGAGACACCAAAAATTAGTCCCCATAAAACAGGAGAAAGGAGGGCAGATATATGCATAATCTTTTGCATTTCCAAGAAAAGTAGAGCATCCACAAAATATCCCCCTTTTTCCCCCTTTTCCTCCTCTTCCTTCTGTGGCCGTTTTCCTCAGCACATTAGATCCTCCGCATGTTTGAAACAGCAATTTAGCACCAAGCTGCTACAACCCTGAAGTGGAGGCAGAAGAATTCCTATTTCCCAGGTCCAGCTGGTGGCTGCTGATGCCCTGCGCCCTGTCCCAGCTCCTGAAGTCCAGAGGACTGACTGGATGCAGTTTTCAGCGGAGCTGCCGCTGTGGTCCCAGGGCTTGGAATATTCAGATCCTCCGCATGTTTGAAACAGCAATTTAGCACCAAGCTGCTACAACCCTGAAGTGGAGGCAGAAGAATTCCTATTTCCCAGGTCCAGCTGGTGGCTGCTGATGCCCTGCGCCCTGTCCCAGCTCCTGAAGTCCAGAGGACTGACTGGATGCAGTTTTCAGCGGAGCTGCCGCTGTGGTCCCAGGGCTTGGAATATTCAGCACCCTCCCATGCACTCACACACACTCACCCTCTCTCGCGCTCTCTTCTCCCTCCTCTC